AAAACTGACCTACACGGACTAGTCAATTACACCATGAAGTATCGCGTGTAGTAGGTAAAGTTCTGTTCCAAAAATTAATTATTGCCTTAACCTCATTATACAGTCAGAGTTCGTAATTTAACATACAACTTTTTTCATTGCTTTTACCAATTGTTAAAGGAACAAAAACTTATTAAAAATTATATTGAAATCTAGCTCGTGCTTATTGTATTTTCTATAGATTTAATAATACATGAAAATTTAAATTTGCATACCTGGTCAGTCTGTAACGTACATCCGAAAATATTCCTTCTCGCTGAAATAGCAAGGCGTATTTCAACATCATAAACGAGCATTCTTAATCCTCGGATGTGACTTATTTTTATTCAAGTTAGCTGAGGTAGTTTCTTTCTTTTTTGTTACTGCTAAATTTCTATTATCAAATTTAAAGGCCTTGCTCGCCATTACGGACTATGTAACAGAGGTATTGGGATTTCACCTCCCGAGGGCAAGTACTTCGTGAAATTAATTAAACTGAGAGAACGTTAAAAGTTCTTTGTCAGAAAGAGCAGACGGATGGAAGGACGGTAAGGGATAGTAGAAGGCATTGGCTTAAGGCAAACTTGCCGAATGGAAAAGATGCGCCAGACGATAAAAGAAAAGGGACGAGGAAGGAAATTAATTTTGTATTATACCCCAGGCGGCGTGCCCTACGGCAATTCTTACGGCCCCGTTGCGGTCTCTATGGGGAGTTCATAGGGGGGAAAGAAGGGACCCCTGGATGACCAAGAAGAGTCAAATGGAGCCATGGCAACCCCAAAGTTCCGGAAGAGAAGCCAAAATTAATTGTCAGGCAAACCCATATGGTGCCCTATGACCGTACTTGACTCTTTCTACCCTTCGTATCATCCCCTGTGCCAGTCCTGCATAAGTGCTATAAAGATGCCTGAGGGCGACGAATCCGTGTAAAAAATTTTGCTGAATTTTTGCGGGCCACCCGTTACGTGGAACCGACCATTTCGATAACTGGTGAATTTTTTGGATTTTCTCGATCAAGTGTTTTGCTGATAATTGCCAGCAACGAAATGAGGGATGATTCGTGGTTCGCTGGTGACATGGAGATTATACTGGACACGCACGAGTACACCAAGGCGACATCTGGTGATTGATAATAGCACCGAGCAATCCTTAAAGGGTAGCAGGGCAAGTCAAGGTGGTTCCATGGTCGGTCTGTTACTAGGCTTGGTAAAGGAGTACCCCTGGGTACTATGGTGTACAAGAGGAACGAGGAGCGAAGAGGTATAGGGATGGTGGTGAGTCGTAAGGGTGGAGGTTGGTCTTGCAAAAACTAAGAAGCGCTCTGTAGAATTTTCAATAAGGGGGCGGAAGAAGAAGATTAATGCAATGCCGTGGAGGACCGTCGTAGACGACATCGACGTGTCTGTCAAAAGAACATCCCTTGAGAGGAGAGCAGCTATCCCACTCATACTACATTCCCTTTACTCTTACGTACCCTTAACTCGCTCTCCGTATCCAACAACCTTCTTCCCCTCCACCAACCCCTTCACCAATCCCGTATCCGTATATTCCATATAAAGCTCACCGAGCAGCCTCTAACCAGTCGCGTGGAATCATTCGATGGGAAAAAGCCCGTGTAGCGAGCTTTCCGTTTCTCCATCCCTTAACTACCCTTGCGTACTTCTACCACTCTTTCTACCCCCCAACAGCTATCCAAAACGATGTTTTCCATTTGTTGACTCCTATCGAATTAACTGGAAATTAGAGAGCATGACACAAGCATTTATTCCATTATCCAATAATTGTCTGCCCTTTTTGCACAAAAGCACTCAATATGATAAATATTTGCATAATTTTTTGAACATGCCAATTTGAATAGCCATCTGCAATTAAACTTGTAAAACTATTTCGGTGCATTGGCATCTATTAACAAAGGAATACTTTGCTCGTCTTATTAGATAGCTGGGCTGCATTTCAAAGTGTAATGATAAGTTAGGCTTCGCCGAAAGTAAAGTAGACAAGGGTGCATGCCTATCGGAATAACGAACAAGGAAAAGTCTATGGGGGTTGAAGTTTGTGGGGCTGGTATAGGGGAATAATAAACAGCTACTCTGCATAGCCCAGGGGTTTCTCCTGTCTGGTCCAAATGAAACGCATTGCAAGCTACGTCCAACCGACCCCTACAGACGCTTCTACGAGTCTGAACAACGCGCTACCTTAGCCCCTTACTATATATCTATACCGTGCCTTACTACAGACAGAACCTCTAGCTCGTCTCTCTGTCGAGGAAGAATGTTAAATTAGTTCCTGAACGAGGTTGCAGGTGCCTTCCTCATGAATATTTATTAATTTCGATTAAACACAATAATACTGGCAGTTAGTTTTACGAGGCTTATGGGTGTACCTATTATTTCTGTGAATAGAACGTGTGTATTTCATTATGAGAGTATTAAACGAAGTGGAAATATATGCTAGAAACATGTTAGTATTCTGAGAACATTTGGAATCCTCTGGTTAACGAGGTTTTACTATAAGTTTCCATGCGAGACGAACACTTGAATATTTCAATGCGTCATTAACGTTATTGCTATATATATTCCTTCCGAATTTAAAATTAGATATCTTGATTCGAGCTTTAAGGTTAGGTGCGTTGAAAATGTATCTTGTGAAGAATGCAGATCAGTTACTTTTTTTATATATTAATTATTTAATATCGTTTACGCGCGAGGAAAGCGATTAAAGGAATTCCTAGAGAGAATAAGTCCTGATAAATAATTTTTAAGCCGCAGGACATACTGTGTTGCGATGTAGAAGAAGAAATCATTACGTCGGATGAATTGGTTGGCAAAATTGATTTTACGTCGTTGGAATTTTCGTGAAGTTCAATTAGCATTAAACTTTTATTTGTTTATTATTGATCGTCGAAATAATTACTTCAAATATTCAGGATATTAAAAGGGGTCGATACGTTATTTATGGCTATGAAATAGTCTGGCCACTGCGTGGCCAAAAGTTGACTCATTAGGATTTTGCATTATGATTGCCAAGTAAAATTAATCTTTGGCGATTTAATATTTAGAAAAAAAAAAGAAACATAGTTTCAAAATTATACGCCATATAAAAGTTTCATGAGTAAGTGAGTGTTTCTCCTATTTGGCTTCTGACAAAGAAACCTCCTTAATTCAGGTTGATCAAAAAGTGTAGTAATATTTGTAAAAATTCGTTTAAAACATGGAGAATTCCGTGGAGAATTCTTAAGGATTCGTTGACGTAATCAAAATCGGAATCGCTCGGAATTGTCCGAGGTTGGTGTGAGTTCAATGAAGTCCCTCCGTGCCTTCTTAATTCGCTAAGAGGGCCAGGTCGATTCAGCACGCCCCAGGGTTAGGGTTGTTACGAATAAAATTTGATGATTATTACGGTCGCTGATAAAGCACGCCTCTACGAAGGAGGGTAATTTTATTTAAAATTTAATATTCCCACGTTTTGGAGTCGTCCAACCCTCCACATCCCCCATTATCCACCTTCTATCCACTTCGTGGCTGTGTATGTGCGTCCTGTGGAAAATCGACTAAATTGTATTCGTGGCAGTGCGCACTTTTATTTGAAAATCTTTTTTTCGAATCCAAATCCAGCGCGTTGGATCTCTCACGGGAGGTTTGTCAACGCCTTTGCTGTGGGATAAAAGACAAGAGTGCGAAAGTGTATAAAGAATAAAATAAAGAGTAGAAGAAGCGTGGAAGACGAAGAAGAGAAAAAACAGAAGAACCACTCTTGTCGAGTGGTGATGATTTGTCGCCATTTTTTTCTCCATTGTAGCACGCCCTTTGAAACTTTTTCCACTCGGGGGGAAAAAAAAAGTTCAAGAAGCATATCTACCTACTCTTTTTCGAGAAGAAATTATAATTTTTCTGCGTTCCAATTATCTTTAATATTTCGAATCTTTATCCTGTTAAGGGCGTCAAGATTAAAATCATTTATAAAGTCAATTTGAAGATGGTGATAATATATTATGATAAAAGGTTCGAATATCTTTCATCCTCTCTTCTCTCGTCCCCACGAAACCCGTGCTCGAGCTGCTCGCAATAATTTTTCTATATTTTCAAAAAGGCAAGGATATCTGTATGCATACCGAGAAAAGAAAAATAGGGAGGATACGTGTAAGGGTTGCTTGAAGTTGGCTGGTAATATATCAAGGCACTGATTATCCCCTTGAAAAATGTCATAAACTAAAATATTAAAATAAACCGCGACAACTTGGTACCACGGTTAACTTAAGGATGTCCTACGAAAAGGGGTTGGTAAAGAAGTTAGGGGTGGTTTCCCTGAAAGGGAGCTGTCTTCCAATGATATAAAGCATACTCATGCACAACGATAGGGAGTTTTGCACGTACGTCTTTGAGGAATATGGTGGACCCGTTTCCTGGGTCCTGTTAGGTACAACCCCTCTGTTCCTCTGCAGACAACGATTCATCCCCCATGTTACCTACATACACACACCCTTTTCTCCCACTCGTAAGATTAAACTGTCTGCAGTCGGTGATACACTGCTCAGAAATTCAAATATCCAGCTCCTTATTACAATTCGTCGTTACGGCCCTGGGGGGTGCACCCCATCACCATTCTGGGTTTCTAACACCCCTTCCAATCCCCTGACCGTAATCCTCAACCTTCCCACTGGCCATCCATTCTCCCTACTGAAACACCCAATATACGTACATCACGGCACGCACCTGAGTTTCCACGGAAGAGTCAGGAAGATGCTTTTTACTGGGAAGTTACGAGCCCGAGTCGTTATTTCAAATTATAGAGGTTGAACGATGAGTTTTCGAGGGGTCATGTAGGTCTTGAAACTGTGGCATGCGAACTAGTCTAAAATTAATCTGACCTTACTTGATTCCTATAGAAGTGCGAGTGGAAAGTAAACCAAACACTTGTAATAGCGACTTGTAAAGCAGCGATATCAGTTTACTACCAAGGGCCAACCGCCTATGGAACGCAGTGTAAGTGAGTCACCTGGATATAGCTGTGATGTGGCGGATTTATCATGTTCATCCATACATATTTACTCGTAGAGTATATTCGCAGAGCCAGAATACGCATTAAAGAGCATGGATGATTGATTGATTGAGCTGATGCACTGGAGAGGGATGACGGATTGGTAGTTATCACTTACGGGGTTTATTCGCTCTGAAGGTTAAAATGTCTCTGGAAATGTATTCGTACGGGGAAAAATAAAGAAAGGTCGGCCGGGGCTAATAAAAGAAAGTTTGGACGTACCTACTCCAGGGCAATTGGTACGATAAATCAGGGTAATCCCATGGAGCCCAGAAGGGATGTAGGAACCACGGACCGCCTCGTGGCTAAGGTAAAGCTCGCGCTCTGGCTTGATCTCCCTGTCCACTTTAAACTTCACCCCCTTTTACATTTCCAATTAACCAAGCCAATGTCTTTGATAACGTACAGCGTGGAATTACCAGAAAGACGCATTACTCTATTCTCGCGTTCCTCTCGACTCTCATCACAATTAAGGATAGTCCTTTGGCAATGGCGGTGGACAATAGCACAGACCCTTGTCCTCGGCATCCCTTCTGGCAGCACACTCTTTGATCAATATCTTAAAGGCATGGGGTGTTACGTCATCAGAAGCCTTCAATAATTCTTCGGTTAATTTCTTATATTCATCGTCTCTCTTCAGTCCATCTCGATACATCCTCTCGTCCTCCTCTTTCTCTCGTTTGCGCATGGATTCCGTGTAATTCTGTTGATCCTTCAAATCCTGTCCGTACTTCCGGGCACGATCTCGTTGTCTGTTACGCTCAAAGACTTCAAGATTTCGTTCGTTTTCCAAATTCTTCTCCAGAATTTCTCTCTCCTCGTTTCTCCGCTTGCGCTCTCTTTCTTCCTTCTCTCTCCTAGCTTCCAGCTGCATCGTACGTCCTTCCAGGACCTCGCGAAGTCTACGTTGTCTCACTTCCTGAAATTTTCTCAGCGCGAGATCCTTACGCGCCAGGGTGTCCTTATAAGATTTCTCGACAATCTCATTGACGAGAACGTCTTGGCGCGCCTGCTCGACTCGAAGATCCTCGAGGTACTTCAGATAGGACAGCATCTCTCTACGAAGAACCTGAGATGATTCCCTTAGGATACTTTTTTCCCGAGCCAATTCGGCCTCGTTCAGGTTCCTGAATATCCTATCTATCTCAGCCTCTTGTCTGGCTCTCTCGGCTAATGTCCTTTTGGCAGCTATTAGCTGATCCTCCAGATCCTTTTTTAGTCTCTCACGCTTTTCTCGTTCTCGCGCGAGATTCCTTAGCTCCTCTTCACGAATATTGTTCCATAATCTCTCCAGATATTTTTTTTCTTCTATTTCTATGCGTTTCAGCTCCTCCCTCAAGGCCTCCTTACCGGCGACCTGCTTCCTCAGAGTATCCACGACTTCCTTATCCGCTAAATCCTTCCTTCTCAGATCTTCGATTTCACGGAGTTTCTTAACTTCTAGTTCCTTGAGCATCAAACGATGCCAGAGCATATCGAGCTCCTTTTCGGATCTTCGTCTCGCCTCGTTCTCAGTCATCTGAACCAGATTGCAGTGCTTCACGTCCTTTGCAATCCTTACTGAGGATAAATCTCGTGCGTCAGGACATCTCGATAGATATTGCTGCATCCTCTTAGCAGCTACGAACGCTAAACGCTCGTCCTCCCTCGATTTTCGAAGTCTCTCCGCCTGAGCTCGCATTTCTTCTAGTCTCATCTCATCCCCACGACTCGCCAGCTCTACAATTTCGTTGGTAAGCGCGGTCTCCTCCAAAATTATTAATTTTCGTAATTTCTCGCGACGTTTCTCTATGTCCTGATCGTAGGCTGCCATTCCTTTAATACACAATACGTTCAATTAATTATTCGAAGTTAAATTTGCGGATGTGACAAATATTGTTTAAGGCCATTCTACAATGCAATATAATAAGAAATAAGCAATAAGATCTTCAATTGATATTTACCTAATTCCATTGGATCCTCCAATCAAGAAGGAGAAAATCGTTTTTAAAACCGAATGTTTATTAAGTCCCTACGATTTTTGTGACGTCTTGGACATAGCAATGATACGGAAGCGGTTGCTAGGGTCTTTAAGAACTTCACGGAGCACGAAACATGATGGGTAACATCGAGCATGCCCCGTTCCGTAATTTATAACGGCTTACGTTAAAAATACATAGCAACGATACGGAAGCGGTTGCTAGGCTCGCTAAGGATTTCACGGAGCACGAAACGACATTGTCAAATGTCATTACCTGTCACCTGTCATTACCAACTCTATAGACGAGGTCATTATCAATATCGTTAGAGAAATGAAATTTCTTTACGATAAAAGTCATCTTGACTTTAAAAATGAAGTAATGATTTACTTATCTGTATGAATAAACGCATACACATTTTTTTTAATATTTATATATTGACAGATCATGACAGGTGACAGGTAATGACATTTGACAATGACGTTTCGTGCTCCGTGAAATCCTTAGCGACCCTAGCAACCGCTTCCGTATCGTTGCTATGTATTTTTAACGTAAGCCGTTATAAATTACGGAACGGGGCATGCTCGATGTTACCCATCATGTTTCGTGCTCCGTGAAGTTCTTAAAGACCCTAGCAACCGCTTCCGTATCATTGCTATGTCCAAGACGTCACAAAAATCGTAGAGACTTAGTACACGCTCGGTTTTAAAAACGATTTTCTCCTTCTTGATTGGAGGACCCAATGGAATTAGGTAAATATCTATTGAAGATCTTATTGCTTATTTCTTATTATATTGCATTGTAGAATGACCTTTAAGGGATCATCGCAGTGTAAAATTTTCAAAAAATCGATTTTTTTGTTTTTTCATTATCTGATAGTATACACGGTTATAAACATTCTATCCAATTTTTATGTCGAAATTCGAATTATTTCGGTCGCTACAGCCTTTCTTAGAAGAAGGGATTGGACGGTCAGACCTGGCGCATTCCGAACTTTAAACGCGTTTTTCTCAGAATAGTGTTTTTCAAAACGATGGCCACTCTCAAAGGAAGAATTTTCAAGCTATCCATTAGAAATTTTACCAAAACATTCTTCACGTCATTTCTTATGTTGCTATGGAAGCTTTTTGTTTTTTTGAAATCTTCCTTTTTTGTTTTACGAAAAACTGTCGAAAAAAAAGGCTAAATTTTATACGTTTTGTTCAAATCGACGCCATTTTTTCAAATTTCACTAACAACAAAAAAGCCTTCATAGGAGCATAGCGGCTTTCCTACAGATTTATAAACCATTTGAAATTTTTGATTCAGGTAAAATTTGCGTCCGCAATCCTGGCTACCATGGGACACCATTTTTTTTCCATTCAATTTTCCACAAATAAAAACAACGTTAAACAATATATAAAGAAATTTTAAAAAAATCATTTTGTATACTTCATTGATGCTTCAAATTGTAAAAAAAAATTAGACCGATTACCTTGTTCCATCCACCTAAAAAAAAATCGCGAAAGTCGGCTATTTTTCGGACGCTCACACTGTGATGATCCCTTAATGTACATTCTACCTTAACAATTTTTTTTCTCACGTCAAATATACTTTCATAAAATTTTCACATATTTGTCTACCTTGTTCCACGCCTTGACGAATCTTTTCACGAATAATTCGCTTCTCGGTCCTCTGTTCGAAAGCAACTCTTGATATTACTTGTTCCAAGTTTCTACGGTCTTCTAGTTCATTGGGATCCACGGTAGTAGCCTTTCTGAGGTAGTAAAATTGTTCCATATATCGGCAGCCACTGTTGGCTTCTCGTAATCTGTGTCCAGCAGCGACATTCGCTGTGCCAAAAACATCCACGGGATTTCGACGCGGCTTAAGCGGTGCACAAGTTGGAAATGGAAATGCACCGAAATTCATTCTGTAAAGATTTAAACGGCAGAAAAAGAGAATATAACTTCCTAATGAAAAGTTTGGTTATAAGGTTAGGCGTTACTGAACCGAGTCGATAGACTAAAGTGAAGTTGCTGGTGGTTGTCATGGGGATTCATGGTTCGATCGAACAAACCTCCATGGTACTTTCATGGGGTGTTGACGAGGGTAGCTTTAACACACACGATTTGTTTGTAAAATTTAATTGGAATTGAATGATCAAATCGAAGATTTCCATTTTAGTAATTCGACCCTCTAAAATATTTATCATCTATTGGTGACTTCTTGGAACAACGAGGAATGCGTCAGCGTTTTCTCAATGAAGTTAAGAAGCTAGTCAGATCTAATGGGACCCAACTTTATTTAATTAATCATCAAAAATGGGGGTATATTATACGTATCTATGAATTTATAAATTTTTAAAGAATTAATAACGTACATTTACAACAAAAAAGTCAAAGTAAAATAAATTGGAAATTGTTAGATTAATTTTTTATTAGAACACGTGTAATGGTTTCCTACATTTGGTCTCCAATAAGAGCAAATATAAAGTAATACACGTTTTTGAGTAAAAAGTTAACCCAGAAAATAATTCGTTTTACTTCGGTTTTATCGTTGGACGAATATTCTCTATTGTACTTATAAAAAATTTGAAACTCCGTTATACAACAATACAATATGTAGATTTGAAAACTTTCTAAGGAAGTTTATACGTAGAAAATATTGAAGAACTTAATTAATATCAACCAATTACGAAGGGGATCCTATCGGCAGCTTGCGCTCTCTCAAAATAATAACAGTAATAGCAACGAAGATAATAATATGATCTTAAAGAGGGTTGGAGTTCTTCTAGTGAGAAACGAATAGGAGGAACCGTAGGGCATTTAGCAGCGACTCGACTAACTTTCCTTAAAATGCGCCACTCTCTAAGAGGATTAGAAAGTACCGTGAGTGCCTCCACGAAGGGGTGAGTGAGTATGGAACGGGGTGAACCAGTAAATCCTATTACACCTTTTTCGTTGAGAAAACTTGTAACCCTGAAAACGACCGCGGAGCATTTGAATTTCTCATTTTTCGTTATAGTATTATTTATAACTTTTTATTTTTTATTTCACAACGTGAAACGTTATACGATTGAGCGGATGACGTAACGCAAACGTCATACGTATAACTACGGCTTTGTAACGTTCAATGTAAAAAGGAAACCCATGAAGAATTTCTTTCAGCCGAAATCATAATTTAGCGAAAGATTGCGAGACGAGGAGCTTGGAAATTGGCTTTTACATTTTTATTGTAATTCGCGTCGTCTTTTGTATAATTTTGATGAAAAGGTGTCAAGGTAAAAATTCGTCGAAATTGCCTTATGGATTTTGGTTTTATAAATCTGATCCCCCCCCCCCCTTCGTTATCTTTGTCCCACTCGTATTTTCTATTACTGTGCAATAAATCCGTATTATGCAAATTTCATCTCGTTACGGTTCGTTTAATTCTTTATTTAACCCGCTCGTTAAGCCGTGTGGGAATTTTTCTTTTTTTTTCATTGTACCCTCAGAAGCTCCTTCCCCATTTTAACCAAGGGATATTAAGTAGCCGATTAGACATTAAAAATACCAATTTCCCACCTACAGTGAACGTAGTCTTTTGTCATGACCAAGAACAAAGAAACGTCAAATGACAATTTCAATAATTCCCGATGGATGGAGAATAAGTCAATTTGACAATCTATTGTTTTGCTCCAGTTCTCGAAAGCGAAATCACGCTTTCATTCGTATACCTCAGAAGCTATCCAGCTTCGCATCATACTAACCTAACGTAGGGGATACCACGATCAACGAGGTGGTTCCCCCAGGACTGAAGCAAACCTGCTGAATCCTGTAAATACTCCTGAAACTGGATATTTGTGCGTTTAATTTTTGGTAGTGCGGGGTACTAGCGCATGCGCAGTCCCCGCTAATAAAACCAAAAAATGGAATGCAGAAAATGACAAATAGAACATAAGCAAATCTTCGTACAGTTCTAATGTTCGGTATAAAAATTGATTTAAAAAATCAAAGTGTCATGTAATATCTGTAAAGAATCTTTTTTTTATCTAGTCGACATGGGTAAATAATGTGAATAATTTCTTTGGTCTCAAATATCATTGAAGTCGTACACGAGGTAAATGAACGGGGAGAATATTATGGACTTGATAGTGGATGTTTCATGGTTGGGTAGGTGTTATCGCCAATGGTGTGTTATTTGTGTATAGCGCGTTTCAGGCAGCGTGACAAACGCGTTGGCAAACAGCCGTTCGCTACGATAATGCGCTAAATTGCACGTACGTAGCTTATTGCTCGACTGTTTCCTGCGGAGACAATGGCGCACTCCTTCGTTCCTTGAGATTCGCGGCTGTTTACTCATCAGAATGGTAACGAGGTCCTGAGAACTACTGGTGCAAATTTACCAAGAAACATGAATTACACGTCGATCCAATCTCACTGTGTTTCCCCATATGTTCCGTGCGTATCACGTAGACTGATGACTGACAAGTGCTCTGTCATTGGAGATACAGTAATACCAATAGTTGCTTATCAATGTACATAGCTCTATTGTTCTTGAAAAATATCAAAAATTTTATGACTTTAATTGCATCTTTAATACGACTGTTCATCGTGCGTATAAGATTAAGAAATTCCTATATTTTTAGATACATTGTTTGTCACGTTTTATCATTTCTATTTTATATATGAAATGGTGATTTCGTAACGTACCTAAGAAAATGAGGCTGATATCCTATCGGTTTTTCTGATAAAGAAATTCGGGGTAAAATATTTTTTCTTAGGTTTATCGTAAAATCAATTTACCTCTTAACCTTAGCTCCTCTCGTCGATCTTCCCTGTTTTTCTAGTGGATACGCCGTGCGGCGGGTAGAAAGTAAAAAAATGGGGGTTGGCTCCTTCCTCGGACTTTTTACCCTTTTCATTGGTCGTTAGGCCTATCCGCGGTTTAGGACGCGGTGCACGTTCACCATTAATAAATCCACAACACGGCCATTTATATCGGACGAGTTAATAAAGTCGCGCTCTTCTTATCAGACAAATATTTCATTCGTATACGTGCGAGCATCGGCTGCTCGTTCGGACAATTTTTACGCATATATTTCCGTCGTTCAAGTAGATACGTCTGCACGAGTCCACATATATATTCGTATCCGCAGGTATTTTTTTCATATCTATATTTTTTTTGCTCACTTGGTACTTCCCGACCCTCACGAGCACGAGGTATGTGTAAATATATATATTTTTTTAGAAATATGAAAAAAATGTTGGCATTACACGAGCAACTCGCCGTTTTATCTCCATGAAATTTTCAACAAACTTTACTAATTAATTCACGCTGACCCACATAGCCGATAAATAACATTCCGTGCATGGGGAATGGGGTGCGTAATGGCACAACGGCCGTATCACTAAACTTCCAGGATATTTCGAAAATTCGTTTAGATTTTAATTATCGGTAGTCGATAGAGCCATGGCATGGGCACCAAATTTGTTTGGTGAAATCGTCCCTCGACGAGTTGCTGGCTTTCAGGGTGCCGCGGGTGCGTCCCGTTGCGCGTCGTACTGTCCTTGTAACGCGCGCACGGTATACAATGCCGTTTGAAAATTTGGTAATATTGAAAACCAACTGAATATAATTTTTTGAATTTTCTAGAGACGACGGTAGGTGTTTAGCGTGTCCTTTCAGTCGAATATTGGCGATTTTTCTGTGACAATTGTGCCCGTCTCGGCGCAAGACGGTATCGCGAGGATGCAAAGTCTGCGAGAAAAGTCGAAAAGAATCCTCTCTTGAGACGTTGACAATTCTTATTGAGGGACTCAGCTTTGCGCATAAGAGTCCCGAGACAACGGGAAAAGCTTTCAAGGGGTGTCAAAGAACTAGCCATGAAGAATCGTCGTGTCGGAGAATTTCAGCGTTACGATCGGGCCACCGTGTATAGGGGTTGTTCGATGACGATTTCAAAAGCTTATAAATTTTTTTCAAAAGTTCGCATTCGTCCTGGAAAATTATAGGAAACAATTTTTTGAATAACGTCATGTTGGTATTGACAAATAATTTTTTTCTACGCAAAGGCGTAACGTACCCAGAAAATGTCACGTGCGTAAAATTCAAATTTTTGAATATTTTACTATTTAATTATTTGCACAACGTTTTATCACATTAATTAATAAAGCTCTGAACGTGCGCTGTGAATTTTATTATAATTTTCTATTCACTCGTTATTGCCGTTTCATTTTCTTCTATCGAAGCATTTCGTTTTACTCACTCGGAGCTTCCTATTTTCTGATGTTAACGTGTCACAAAATGATTAAAAAATTCACTTTTTTTGTATAGAGTTAGAAAATAGGTAATTGCAGATTTACGTTATGTTCCACAAATTTACCTCGCATAGTAAAAATCATTATTTTTAGAAATCGTGACATTGTTTCCTATTCTTGTGCACAACGCATTCACATGTCTCTCAACACGGCATACACTGATAAAATATGTCTAAATAAAAATCAAAATTTTTAGTCCATTAAAACAAAATTGAACTATATTTAGAGAAAAAATCATTGCTGTAATTAATGTTTGAAAAATTTCATATCAATGACAGTGTTAGAAATAATTCAAATAACATAGCATCCTGTACTCTGTCTAGAAATAGTGCATATGAATCCTAATAATAATTCAGGGTTGGTACGCATATGCATCAGGAATACTTTGTCGATTTTTCCCACGTCCCAGAAGTTTCATGGAAGCACGTGGAGTCCCCAGAAGAATGAGGTTGCTCGTTGCGATTCGCCATACTCCCTGCATTTCAAACTGCGACGACCGTTCGCCCTCGTGGAAACGAAATTATCCCATATCTGCGTTAGGGATATGGAGATCGATCGAATTTTCCGATTAACCATGAAAAGTTCCCAAATTTGTTACGCCATTTTTGCCACGGCTTCTGCCATCTCACCCATTTAGAAAATTTTTATCGCTTGTCTCTTCGACGACATGCAGATAATTTCCGTTTACGAAATTTTCCTAGCACCTTTGCGCGACATGATATTCGTAAAAATGATTGATATTAGTATTTGTATAATTTATTCAGGGACACTTCTACCACTATTGCTACCGTTTTACGCATTATTGTTGTAGTCCTTTCGATGAGTATTTACATATATGGCTAGTGGCCACGCATGACTTCAAATGAATGTCACGTGCGCACGGAACGGCGCTAAAGTGGAAGCGAAAGGAAAATGATGCTACCAGGTAGAAGCGAAATGGATGGGACCAGGTGGCCGAAGTGGGTGAAGTGGACGAAGTGGACAGGACATGACACGATCTAGCCTCTACATGTTTGTTTAGCTCTTGAGCCACCAGTTGATTGTCGCTCAAGTATACAGGGTGATTCATAATAAGCGTTAAAGCCGTTACTGGTGGACACCAAAAATGATTCTGAATAAAACGTATTTTGTCGTTTTATGAAATTAGCTTTAATTTTCATACGATTTAATCCTAGACCATCACAGATGTCTCTGAAAGCCACATAAGATTCCTTGATTTTTCAGTTTTTTATCGCGACACCTTTTCTTCGAAAATATAGAACTTTTAAATAAATCATTGTTTTCCTTTTTATTTTATTATTGATCGTTGATAAATACATTTCAATAGACATTCAAATACGATAGGAAATCAAATGCGACGAGCCAGATCAGTTTGAATATGACGGCAGGCACATTCCGCAATAAATTCCAAGAAACGGAGGTTCACTGTCATCATCCTTAAAAAACATACAAATCACAAAAAAACCATGCATAGCAACGGATGGAATTTGTTTTGCAGCGTATGACGACATCGTCAGAAGAATGTACCAAAATTATTTGGACAAACGAAAAACTATTTTCAACGTCCAAGGATAGTCTTCGTTACGTATGGAGACAAAATGAAAATAGTCTGTGTTATCGGATACAACGTACTATCAGATCACAAAAGTGGAACAACAAGATGAGGTGCTAATGGAGTTGGAGTATTGACTAAAGTGTCTTCGAATGAATGCTCTCTTATAAACGGGGAAAAAAAATAGAAATAAAACGGGAAAAGTGTGAGTAAATATCGAATCCCATACTTGAGAAAAGAACAACAAATAATGGCTTATAGGGTCTAAAAGCGTGACATTAAATTCACTTCAATTCAGCCATGCGTATATTTATAATTGTGAGAGAGCGGTTGGAGGATTATCCATTTATGTAGCGTCTAGCTTGACCTGCGTAGTTACTTGTTTTACACCCAATAGAAATTGTGTGGACTATCACGGTGAATTTTTGAGTATCAGAAGAAGACAGGACCCGGAAGGCATTGGCAAGCCACGTAAATTGTTTTTGGGAAATGAATCGGTTTTGTTTTCTGCACATATAGTACTATTAGGATCTATGAATGCGCTTACAAGTACTGATGTGTAATAATGGCTATGGGATCTAATGTTTAAAAAAAAGTATGATAATTCGATATTACTTTTAACTACATTTATGGGGCTACATTCAAGTCCATATTACACGATACTATAAATAAAGTCTGTTAATGTTTCCATGGACACCATTCAATTACAATACTGTACGTTCTGATACTCGTTGTTAATGTTAAAAGCAAGGTAGTGTCTCATTCATTGTCAGTTGTATCTAGATAAAGAGGGATTCGACAATGCTCCGAGTACTAGCAGCGAATTTCGGGACGTTTCCTACGTATATTACAATTGTATATACGAACTTTCATTATTCTATGACAAAAAAATAAACAAATAAATATTAACCAGTATAAAATGTATCTTTTCTTGGAACCGTTGAAACGAAATATTTATTTTATCCTTCGTTGTCACACTTACTTTAAGCATCGACTTTGTCATACAGTGCGAATTTATATATCCGATTCAGATTGACCAAT